TGAACAACTGGGAGAGTTGATACATATGCCCCACTTAAGAAGGTTACGCCTCATTGGGAGTCTGCCCAAATTAACACGCCAAAAAGGAGAATACAGACTTTCCATTATAGCATCCTACATTTTCTTTCATTTTTTTTCATCTATAGTATTATAATTTCCAAATTGCATCCAAATACACAAACTACATACATAATTTTCTATACATACAAATACACAGATATAAAAAAATACTTTCCATTATAGCATATTACTTTGTTTTTTCAATTTTTTCATCTATAGCATTATAGTTTCCAAATTGCATACAAAAACACAAACTACATACATAATTTTCTATACATACAAATACACATAAACGAAACTAATACACACCCCATTATAGCATCCTTCTTTGTTTTTGTTTTGTTTTGTTTTTTTTTTTTTCGTTATAACATGGTAGTTTCCATACACATAAAAATAATAAAAAACAACATATGACATATATACATGAAAATACATATATATAAATAATACACTTATACATGCATCATAAACATAAAAATACACATCATACATACACAAAATCAACAAATTGTATATATAAAAACCAAAAAAAAACCTTTTATGTGCTGGTTGTGTTGGTAATTTCCGGTGATAAAGTGGTGGTGGCTGTGGGGATCTTAAAATTCTGAAAATATACTCCAAGATGTCGAAATTCCTTCAACCAAAATTTACATTCACTAGGTGAGAGGAGAAATTGAAAAGAAAAAGTGAAAAAGAAACAAAAAAAAAACTCACAGTTATTTGTCGTAGGAAATGGAGTGGAATGGTGTTAATTTAAGTCGCCGGTGATAGGATGGGTCGTCGGTGATGAGGTTTTGGTTGTGAGTGTCTTGGATCCCAATGGAAGCTTTGGACAAAGTTAATGGAGGTCGCACTCGCAACAATTTTTCGACATATGGGAAAATACGGCCACACATGACTAAACCGGTAAAGAATAAAATGTATTATCTACGACACGTATTAGCGGTGACAGATACCAATTATGACGAAGGAAGGAGTAATAGCGGCAACAATATTGGAGGGAATCTTCGGTAGTATTTTTTCGAGTATTAATGGTGACGCTGTCGCCCATAAAGGCGTCGTTGCTAAATTTGTAAGATAATGTTGATTTCCTGATATTGGATTAGGACTAAATTGACGGATATGATTTCACCTACACTGATCGATGACGTAAAACCTACATTAGTGATGCCTTTAGCGACGACACCCACCTTTAGCAGTGACAAATAACGCAAAACTTGTTTGTCGCGGCTAAATGTGTGTGTCGCTGTTAATGCTGGTGTATCTTGTAGTGGTAAAGTATTCCATAAAACTAAGGAGAAGTTAGGTAATTTTAAAAATGTTTTACAAACGGTCGATGATTGGAAAATGTTTGAGTTATCAACTTTTTTTGAACGACCGGGTTTTCAGTAGAAAACACTAAACTAGCTTGCAAGAGGTCATATGAAAAAAACAAATAAGAAAGTAACATACAACAAAAAGGGTTACAACACCAATCTAACCTCTTCAAACTAATCCCTCCTTTATTGCGATTTTGAATCCAAAAAACTGTAACAACGTAAAATTTGCAATTTAATTTTTCATTTTTAAACCACAAAATGTATATCATATCATAATCTCAAATCCATAACAACATTGTTTTGAAAACAAATCCCAAGATCTCTCTAGCATGAATTCCATCGGTGTGGGTGTGTACAATTCAAGCCGTCGCCTTCCCACGGTCCTCGCTGGTACCTGAGACATCAAACACAACAACTGTAAGCATAAATGCTTAGTGAGTTCCCCAAAATACCACATATCACAAATACGCCACTCAAGGCTAAACCCAACCCTTTGGTCAAGATGTCTCAGCGGGACCCTCCAATCACGCAGCTCGTCGGACCCTCCGGTCCAGTCATAGCTCATTGGGCCCTCTGGCCCGGTCTGAATCGTTGGACCCTCCGGCCCGGTCGATATAATCATACCGCATACAGCTAACACATAGCACGAAATCTCTAATATAACACATAATCTCATACATAGCACATAAGACCCTCTGGTCAACTCGAAATACCACTCAAGGTAATGTATAGTGAGAAGACTCACTTCGCGTATCTCGGAATCACTAGCGCTCGATCTCCCGAGCTATCATCCTCCTACAACACAATCATATCTCTACTTAATACCACCTTGACCCTGACTGACTAACACTACAAACTCAAACTAGTCAACTCTGGACAACGGTCAAAGTCAACCCCTGACTGATTCTACTCGTCGAGTCAACCCGATGACTCGTCGAGTCCCCAAGCTCAGAACTTCCCTCAATCCACGACCTGACTCGCCGAGTCACCCCGAGACTCGCCGAGTCCAACAACTCTGAGTCCACTCGCACCCAACTCACCGAGTCATCCCTTGACTCACCGATTCTCGACTCAACCAGAAAATATTGGGACTCGCCGAGTCTAAGGCTATCTTCAACCTACTCGTCGAGTTCCAGCTCATCTTCAAGCAACTCGTCGAGTCTACCCATGTGACTCGCCAAGTACCACCGGTCTGAATCCATACAGAAGCATTCCAGGCCATGCAATTGATCCAAAACATAGATCTAGCCTCCTACAACCCATCCATCACGTAAAGTGGCAAACTTTACGTGAATCCAAAGAGATCTAGGCCATATACACTTTAGGGCTAGGGTTTGGGACATGATGGCTTCACTAAGCACTCAAACACAGGGACTTTAATGCACTCTAGACCTTCCCCATTCCAGATCTGAGGTAGCAACCTCCGATCTAACCTCCAAACTCCAAAACATCCCAAGATAAGCTCCCCATAAACCTCAAAATGATGAATTCAAATGAGCAACAGCCCAAGAACGAGATATTACCTCAAAAGAGCCCCCCAACTGCAATGAAACTCGAATCCAAGCAAAGCCCCTTACTCCAAGCCTCCAAAATCCCAAGATTCCTTCAACAAATACCCTTCAAGCTCCCAAATGCACTTTGATTCACTCACACACGAATGCTAAGGGTTTCTGGACTTGAGGATGAGTAAAGAGGCTGGGGAATGGATGTTAAGTTCTTTATATAGGGATCAACCCCGAGAATTAGGGTTTTCTCCACTCAGCGCCTACTCGCCGAGTCCAACCTTGGACTCGCCAAGTCGGCCACTTAACACGCAACCAATATCGCGACCCTACTCGCCGAGTTCCCTTTTTCAGTTTACTCTTTTAGCTCTTCAACTCTCCTCTTGATATTTCGGGATGTTACAAAAATCAACAAAGCTTGGACCTAATCTACGAAAAAACAGAAAGAAGGAACATATTTGAATGGACTTGATTTTGTTGTTCTTCCAAATAGACCAAAAAAATGTCATGACGATAGACTCGAACCTCTCCTTCTGCATTTGACTGAAGCCAAAGTATAAACAAAAGGGTAAGAAAGCGCCACACTATGAGTTGTCGAAACAATAGAATCAATCACCAACCACTTGAACAATTTCTGACAACACTCTTAAATAATAAAACAATACTCCAAGAACAAGTGTAGCTCATATTCATCACAAGTGGTACAAATTAGACAACTAGGAGAGTTTATACATGTGCCCTACTTAAGAAGGTTAAGCCTCGTCGGGAGTCTACCGAAATTAACATGCCAAAAAAGGATAATATAGACTTTAATAAGGATCCAATTATTCCATTTTGAAACTTTGTGTATGTGACATAAGATTTTTGTGTCAATCAAGTTCCTAACAAAAAGCAACATAAAAAGAACATTGTGACTTAATTAAATACGACTTCCAACAATCTCCCTTGGATGAAAGCTTCACCATACTACCCAAGGAAACCATAGAATATAGACTATATAACTCTTTCTCTGAAAAGATCTATAATCCAATATTAATAGAAAACCACAATGTTGTCATTATAACTCATTTTATCACTAATTGAGCAAGACTTAATATTTCCAAAGAAAGTAATCTAGGAAATGAGACGGCCAACGAAGACCTATTGACCCATTTATCAAGGCAAAAACGTGTAGAAACACCATTCGCGATTAAAAAAAAGATTATAATTGGAATGTTGATAATACTAAGATGAGCCAAAACGCCCACATCAGAAGCCCAAATGCTACCATTTCTATAAGAATCATAATCAACTCTAGAACGACCTTCGGAACTATGAATGGCTTCGATAACTTCTTTTCATAAAGAGTTTCTATTGGTACGAAAACATCACCATGCACCATTGGTTTTGAGTTCTAGAACTTCCAACGCTCTCAACCTTTTTTTTAATAAAGTTAGTGAAAGTTTAATATGACAACCAAAAAAAACTATACATGAGGTCAAGGATAAAAAATGCTCTTAATATGCATTTAAAAAAATCAAACAATTAACTGTTACATTTAAGCAAAGCAAATAATCAATGTATCATTTTTCGATCAAAAGAAAATAACATAATACCGAATTAAAGTTGGTGTAATATTACAAGACAACGAAGAACGGAAGAATCCTTAAATCACGAGTGGGCCTAATTAACTAAAGATGATACATACAAGAGACTCCTTGAATGGAAGATAAATCTTCCCAAAATGTGACAAACTCATTGCATTTTCCATTATATACGATCCCTAAGCATATATAACTATTAAGCAACTATATATTAGAAATACGTTTCTTTAATTAAATAATTAATGATTTTGATCAATTACAGTAAATTTGACAAGATTTTCTGTTTTATTTCAGATATAAAATTCGAAAACTTAGTAGAAATAGATCATGCGTGCGATTGAAATGGAAGCGGTTGCAAATCTTACAACTTAATAGACATAGATGAAGTTAGATTTTATTGATTTGATGTGGAACTCCATACAACAATATTTTGTTTTTCAAGACATGAACAATGCAATCAAGACTAAATATATTTGAAAAATGAAGAAATAAAACTGAAACCAAAGTAAACCCTAAAACCCACAGTAGTCATTGCTTCACCACACAATCTTCTCGGAAAACTGCTCATCTTCTTCTTGCATGTCCATTGGAGGAGTTTGATTCAAATCGAAATTAAAAACTACTTCACGTCTGCCCTTGGATTCTTGATCAACCGGTATCTGCCTTAGTATCTCGCTTGTTTGGGTGATAGACGAACGACCAAGAGTCACTTCCAGTTCCAGGTGGGTATTTTCTGCTTCTAAACCCTGGTCATGATCCACTGTCTTCAATCCCACACGTTTTCTCATGGACGGTAGTTTACAACTTGATGGGTGACACCCTCTCTTTTGGGTCAACTTCCACCTAAGTACTGGAGTCAGCATTGAATCAGCCACCTTGATCACAGTGGGGGTTTTAGGCACTGTGAAGAATGTCTTCCAATCTCCATCAGAATGATCCTCCATCATGTGACCATAAAGGGATTCCATCTTCTCAAACGTGTTTTTGCATAGACTACAAACTGCCTTACCATCATCGTTTACAAAATCCACGGTGAAATCTTTTCCTTGTTGCGGATGTTGTAGCCTTATCTTTCTCATATTTGGAGGCTTTTTGAACTTGGTTTCTTTTGTGGGTTTGACAAGAGCGGCTGTGGAGTTGAATGCGACGGCGTTAACATGATTAGTCGCCATGTAAAACTCTGTAGTGATTATGCACGTGAAGCGTGAAGGATACATGATTATATATATAGTAGTTTATAGGGTTTAATGAAAATGTAAAAGGAAAGTCTATATGTGCTAGGAGACATATACAAAATATTCTACTTGTACTTGTACTTGTATACTAAGGCTGTGTGGTATCGTCACGAGTGAAAATAAAGCCACGTAAGATTTTAAGCATTTCACAACCAACCCACCAGGTTGTGGAAATGGTGTTCACCGGTGGGTTGGTGGTGATGAGGCAAAAGGAAGAGAGAGATAAAGAGAAAGAAACATACTGATTGACTGTCTTCTTGCGTCTTCACAAAGACGCCACATCCAAACCATCGGGGCTGGGGGCGGTGTTCACGCGTCCTTGGCCCCTCCACCTCAGCTTTTCACGCGTGAAAAGGTATCCACTCCGGATAGTCTAATTCTGTTACCTGATAATTCTCGTTTTCCGAGTTTTTTTTTTTCTTGTTATTATTATTTTAATATTTACGTGTCAAAAATATTAATGCATTTCTAATGTTTTTATATAATGACAAATATTTTCTTTTCATTTAACTTGTTAGAGAAAATATTTTATGAAGGCTACTTGTATATTTTACTTACGTCATTTTCCTATAATATGATTACCTGAATATGAACATATGCTGAGACATGTTTAATATGTGGAAACTTAAATAAAACCTAACGTATTTTAATCAATTTTATAAAAAAATTATTATATATTTTTTATTATGGCAAAACCTTTATATTTTTTAAATTGTCTAATTTATGCCTTTGAGATCCTCAAATCATAGATAATGATAAATGTTAGATAATAAAGTTTTACCAGTAATAATTCATTAGATTAAAAAATATGTGGGTTTTACTTTGCTATAAATTTAATATAGTGATTTTTTTTGATGATTGTGAAAATAGGTTAGGTTTTTCCTAGGTTGTAAAATCTTAACTAAAACTTTCAGAAAATATAGGGATTGTAATGCACTAAAAAAATAATATAGCGGTTTTTTTAAAGAATTAGATAAAAATATGTTCAGTTTATTTGAGGTTTGCCCTTTAATATATTATATAATATGAGAATTACCTAAATATGAACATGAATTTAATTTAGTTTTCATCGATTTCGATCAAATTTATTAGGCAAATTATCTTACAATCTTGAAAATACATTTTCCACGAACCATGCCATGATTCAATATATAGTTTGTAATTTTTGTTTCAGCTTATCATCTTTGTGTATTTTGAACTTTATATGAGTGTCAAAATTGATTAAATTATCATAATTCAAATTCGCATCGGATTGTTAGAAGTGGTCTTTAAGTTACATCGGATTGTCCCCTGGCCTCCCAAATAGAATGATAGAAATGGAAAGATAGAAGTTAAAGCACATAAGAACAAAAGTATAGAAAAGTATAATATCTTCCATGATACATGCATGATAAATAAAGATCTATCAACGACAGAAGATCCAATATTATATTAGATACTAATATAATATTACCATCCCTTCATATAAATAACAGTCACCTCTAAACATTCTAAGTAAGTGAACTTAATTCACTTCAATCTCTCTTATGGAGGCATCCTTGTCTCCATATAATCGGCTCGTTACCGCTAGGAAGAGTTGGCTCTCTTTACGCTAGCGATCTAATTTGATCATCGAAGCTTTCTCCCCAGGCATACTCCACATGATAAGCTTAATGGTCTTTTTTCTTGATGTTACTTAAGTTTTATAATCTGAATCCAACCATGATGCATAGTTGCACACCCATCAAAGATATGAGCTACAAGCAAGACCAGGATAAACAATTAAAGAACTCGGTGTATCATCAATTTTGGGGGACTTTCCCCTCGACCTCCCACAAATAAGGGTAGAAATAGAAGGATAGAAGTTGAAGGACAGAATGACAGAAGGATAGAAAAGTACAATAAGTTCCATGATACATGCATACTAAATAATGATTTAGCAAGGACATAAGATCCAATATTATATTAACTACTAATATAATATTACCAACCCTTCCTTTTCCTTTCTTATAAATCATTCTCCTCTAAACATTCCATGTAACTGCTCTTCATTTACATCAATCTCTCTCACAGAGACATCCTTCGTTCCATACAGTCGGCTCCTTCCTGCTAGGAAGAGTTGGCTCTCTTTAGACTAGCGATGTAACTTGGTCATAAGAGCTTGCTGCTAGGGCACAGTCTATGGGGAAAGCCTAACAATCTTCTTTCTTGATGTTGCTTAGGTTTTATAATCAGAATCTAACCACGATGCACACCCATCAGACACATGAGTTAGAAGTAAGACCCATGTAATCGATTGAAGAACTCAACTAAAGGTTTGTATTTGATCAGATATACTTCAAGTGTGAACAAGAAAAAAAATCTAATCTAAATGAAATAATGAACATAAAGTAAATAAAGCAGAAGTTCTTCAAATGTTTCTTTCACCAAGAAAAGAGGTTTTGTCTTCACCAAGAAGACAAGTTTGTCACCAATACAATTGACACAAAGCTACAAACAAAACTACTAGACCAAGACTAGTGGAAAAACATTAGCGTTTGCCCAAATGTTGTATATATAATAATCTATATAGGTATATCCCTTGATTGACGGGATTAAATCTAATCTATGCTACGAACTGATCTTAACATAAAGATATGAGATCTGATCTATTCTGTATTTATTTATAATAATTGCCTAATATACAAAAGATTACAATCAAACAACTATGCTATAAGTTGATGATGTTGAGCTTGTGAAGCTGGCGTTGTTGACTCGTGGACGCTGAGCTGATGGATCAGCATGTTTTGTGTTTGACTCATCATATCATAAGGCATGACCTTATAATCTACCCCTATCTGATGATGTTAAAACTAATCTTCTTCTTCAGAGTCAGCAGAAGAGCTATTGTAGAACTTGTCAGCTTCTTTCAAGATTTCTGACTTTACCTATCTGAATTGATCAAGTTTCAACTCATCCCGTCTTCTATTCAGCTCTAGTGATATCAGCAAACGATATCCTCATTCCAGCTCATAATGACCTAGTCCTTCCAAGTGAATAGCAACATTGTATTCCTGCATGATCTGTATAACTTCCTCGATAGGTAAACTCTATGTTTCTACTAACTCATTCAGATAAAAAATGATCTTGATTTTATTTAGAGGAGGTGCTGAAGTATCACCAGCTGTATAGGAACTTCCAGGTTTAGAGTTAACAGCTCCCCTAAGAAGGAAGCCTTTCTTTTTTGTGGATTAAGCTGAACACCATCATCAGAATCAATGTCACTATTTGTTCCTTGAGGAACCTCTTGAGCAAACTTCCCCTCAAAACAAGAACCAGGATAGATAACGTTTAATGGAGTAGTAGAAACAACAACTTGTTGCATGAAACCAATATCCAGAAACCCTTCATAGTCATCTGTTTCTGATTGGTCACAAATGTCTGGAATGGGTTAATCAATTGAAGCATTAGCATCAAGAATATCAATAACAACAATCGGCTCTAGAGGATTAGCTTCAACTTCATTCCTTTCATTGCGGATTTATAGACACATATACATGCATTACGGTCTTGGGATAATGAATGGGTTTAAAATGAATTGTTTATGCGATATTGGTAAATTAAAAGTATGTTTGCTTGGGGGCAAGCAAAGGCTAAGTGTAGGGTATCTTGATATGTGTATTTTTATACATATTTTTATATATTATATCTTAATATTTTAGCCTTTATTATTCTTATTTAGAACTAAAAGGTACTTATATGCTTTGAGTTATAATTTACAGCTATAGAGCGGAAAAGAAAGGATTGGAACGGAAGTCGGGCTTAGAAGCAAAAAGAAAGAAAATTGTTGAAGGCAGCTAGTACGTCCAGCGTAGTGTGAAGTACGCCAAGCGTACTGCTGAGATGACAACTACACCCAGCGTAGGTTCAAGTACGCCCAACATACTGGTATTGGGTCCGAAGAATGTATCGGGATGGTTTTGGAAGGGTGTTATCCGGTTTTGGAAATGGGGCAAGATGGGCCCCAAGTTTATTGGTCCATTTAGGGTTTTAGCCTGGGTGGGTCGAGTTGCGTATCGGTTAGATCTTCCTGCAGAGGTCAGCCAGATCCACAACATGTTCCATGTTTCCCAGTTGCGGAAGTGCTTAGTGGACAATTTAGTAGTGATACCTCTTGAGGACATTTAGGTTGATGATAGCCTGAACTACATCGAGAGGCCCATGGCAATTTTAGATTGCAAGACGAAGGAGCTGAGGAACAAGAGGGTAGAGTTAGTGAAGGTGCAGTGGCAGTACCGCAAGGATTCGAAGTGGACGTGGGATCCCGAGGAGGAAATGAGGGAACACTACCTAGAGTTGTTTCTCGAGACAACAAACTTCGAGGACGAAGTCTAAGATAAGTGGGGGAGAATTATAACATCCAGTCTCAGGTACACATTTAAATTTAAGTCAAACTTCATATTTTACTCTTGGACTCGGCGGGTTGGGGGCTTAACTCGTTGAGTAGGATTAACTCCGGGTCGAGGGATTAAGTAACCTACTCAACGAGTCGGAAGGCTGACTCGGCGAGTAGGAGTTGTCTGAGTGAAACCCTAAATTAGAGGGTTTGCACCCTATTTAAACAACTTATGAGGCTCTCACCCCAGCCTCCATTACCCCCACGTACTGTCCTCGAAACCCTAAGTAGTTGTGAGCATCTTTGAGCTATTCAGTGCCATTTTGAGTAATCTTATGTAATTTGAAGCTTGTGTGAAGAAGAGGAAGAAGAAAGGCTTCAAGAGAGGGTTGCAGATCCAGGAACAACATCATCTTCTCTTCACTTTTTAGTAATCAAGCTTCACACTTGACTTGTGGTTTCTTATATCTCCTTGTGGTTACTTTATGGAGCTTTGGGCCAAGAAGTTTGATTCTTGGGATTTGGACATCCTAAGTCGATACACCTTCATATCTGGAACCTTGAAGGGTCCTCATTGATGGGTTTTAGCCATAAGAACATCATATGTGCTCATACAAACCCTAATGCTTGGATCTAGGTTTCTCTATTGTACATGCAATTCATCCAAGACTATAAACCCTATATCTAGTATATGATAATCAATATAAGCATAAGAATGGGTTTAAGATATTACCTTGATTGTTATGTAGCAATAACAATCACAATTCCTCCTTGTAATGACTTTAGAAAGCTTAGAGTCACAAATGTCACTCCTCTAATGGTTCACAAACACCAAGAGCAAGAGGATGAAGAGGAGAAGAGAAGGAGGCTGCCCAAAACGTGTGGAAACCCTAACCAATCAGTTCCCCACGTTTTTGGGGCATAAGGGTTCGTTAAATAGTGAGGCTATTAGGGTTATATAATAAGGAAACCCTAATTTGGATGCTTAGGCCCTAAGCAACCCATGGACTCCTTCCTTAACAAGCCTTGGACGATTTCTAATGGGTTTCCCCATAGAATTCGTCCAACCTTATAATATAAGGTAATCCATAGCCCAATTGCAATTATCTTATAATTACAATTCTAGTCCCTTAAGTTTAATTAATCTCTTTTAGCCATAAACTTAATTCTTATTAGTTATTGACTAATATTAATTAAACAATATGATTTCTCCTATATTATTCTCATAATATATTAGTAAATCATATTTAATCCTTTCTCTCCATAATTCATCCTATCAAGTTGCTTTGGTGAAGGCAACCCAAAAGGACCATGCACCATCGGGTCAAGTACATACCAAAATAGTTATGGACTTAGACACTAATCTAACAGTCTCCCACTTGGATAAGTCTAATAACTATTCCGCGTACGACCTCAGATCCTGATCTACAATCATAGCTTTTTAAAGCCGCTGTCAACTCTGATCTTATCAGATACGCGTGTTCTTTAGATAAGGGATCATATATTCCTCCATTCTAGATATCGTATAGACTGAGACATGGATCTAAATCATTCTCTCTGTCTATGTGTTGTTTCCCGAATTTAGATTTATGACGACTGACAATAGACTACAATTGAACACATCAATTTAGTCCCGGCTTGGCCAAGCGCTTAGGTTCCATCACTAAATCATCGAGGGGCCCACAGATATCGCTTTTATCCTACTTTGGATAAAAGGAACGAATAAACTTTGACTCAATGCTCTCTTGCACTCACTCACCAAATCACACACAACAATAAGTTTTATAACACCAAGTTACTGGTGCGTTTACAGATTATCAATGTGCAACCGACTCGCAAGATACAACTCACACATCTCGGTTTCAAGAATATAAGATGTTATCGTCTCACCAATCACTCGTGATAAAATCCATGAAGTGATCCAAGTGAGCGTGGGTTTAATCCAATGCTCAAAATCCTATTCATAAGCATTCATGAATGTTGCAGCAAACCTTTGTTATGTCTAATACACTTTAGACAATCTACAAGCCAATTCATGACAGTCTTCATTCATACCTACTTCCAACATATGAACGACTGTGGCCCGTTTGAATAATTTGATTGTTCTGAACCAATTTAATTATTCGGGAAGTCAAAACATGCAAACTGAAACACAAGAATAATACTAATCCCATATGGCCTCAAACCTTTGAGTATAAATAAAACACCTTTTATTTATCACCATATCGATTACTCATTATTTGTTGTTTCTGGTAATCAACTTCTTAATTGAATTATAACTATACTTGCCCCATGCTCTTAGCATGCACATAATGTTTACCTATAGTCCTTACTTTGTGAAATAGATCAAATGAACACATTTCCAATCATACTCATTTCACAACTCCCAATCCTTATCACAAGTGTAAGAATATCAAATTCTTGCCACTTATAGAATATGCTAGATTCTAACATTTTATGCAATGATCCTTTTGTAATGTCACTGCACTAAGGTCACAATGACTATTGCCAATGAATTACAAAACTCTCTATGGGAAATTGTTACAAGACAATTCCATAGATGTGATGTCTCTCACTCAAAGTACATTCCTTTGAACATCCTTTTGCATAAAGTTTCTAATCTAGACATAGATTCTCAATATTTAACTCCCAATATGGAAACCTTTCCATACTTACCATATCACAACTCATCCTTAATAGAATCTTATCTATTCATAATAATGTCGATATGCTCCATCCAATATCATTCTGCCATAATATTTTATGTGCTATGTTCTTATAATTCGAACTATGAAGAGGAATGTCGTAATCATAATCGAAATTTAAGAACACACTATGTATCTTTGACCAAAAAATATTAATATTCCACAACCTAAGCCTTTAGATTTGAAATGAAGCATAATATTCTCTCCCTTAATTATAGAAAAACAACTTTACATCCTTACTACTCTGCAAAGTATGACTCTTGTTTTCTATAATTAATATTGCTAACTTGCAATACTTGCCTTAATAATCATACAATCATAACATTTATGCTCCCACTATCATGATGATTATTATAAAAATAACACTTATGCTCCCACTAGCTTTGACATGTATTCAGAAACAGCTTAACTTTCAGAAAAACAATACCTATTGAATTTCTTAAGTTCATGTTTCTAGTACTCAAGGCTTTGATAATCTCTTATCAAGGCTTCTTAAACTTATACACCTTTGCCCTAGATAGCTCATATGCGTGTCTTAAACAATTCAGACTAATCTCACAATTCGAATCATGGAAAGGGATACCGTAACCATAATTGAATTTGAGAATACAATTTCACAATCACTATCTTCTTAAAATCTTTCTTAGTGAAAGCATTTCCTCACAGTTTTTTTCATGAAGGAGGGAATCTTATGACACTTAGATTTTAATGGTGTATGTGTTCCTATCTATGTGAATTTGTCAAAAACAAAGTTTACGACAAATTCAAACTCATATGGACTGAACTTTCTTAATCTTGATTTCTTGCCTTATGGTAACACGACTGCCCACCATGTCTTCCAAGTAGTTTAGCAGCTCACCCTTTTCCTATCAATGTACTTTTCATTGATCAAGGTCCTTGCCTTTTATGCATTCAAATGAGAACTCATAGGGCTCACATGCATAATTAATTCATTTGGAACGGCACAGAAACAAGATAATGTCAACACGATAGGTTGTAAACCTCAAGTCGTGTGCTAGTGATGTTAGATAAGGTTTATTTTGATTTGTTCTTGATACCTTTTAAGACCATTAAGACTCCCACTGACTCCTTGACATATAAGATTCTCTTCTCAATAAATCATTTCTTGACAAACAAATATTCGAGAGTTAGTGTAGTTTTTATCAAGACAAAACACTTCACAAAATTGGCCCTAGTTGATCTTTATCTTATCCAAGACATCACAACTTTCCAATTTCAAATGTACAAGAATAAGAAAAACTTTTCCATATTCTACATTTGATGAGTGTTATAAACCTTCTTAAGACTTGTCACTCAATGTCACAATCTTAACTTTAAGACTTGTTTCGGAACGAAGTATGATTGACTTCTTGATTTAACCATTTCTTCAATTCTCGATTCCTCTTCTTAGACATACAATTGTACTAAGATTTACTTAGAGGATCAATTGAGATATGGTTCTTAATCATTAAAATTTATCATAAAACATAATAAAAGGTACTCTCCCTTCTTCTTAGAATAGAGGAACTTTTATCTTTCTGCCTACTTGATTCTTCTTATTCGTTCTGCTATTGATTTAAACCTTTTCCAATCAATTCAGAATTACACTTAATCTTATAAGTATAATCATATTTACTAAACCTTTAGTAAATCATGACGAATATCTTTGTTACTCTTACGGTGGACTTGATCAACACACAACTTTGTGTACTCGATCTCCTAGTCCTTCACTTGATAATTTGTCAACGAATTAGTCTAATTTCCAAATATGAAATTTCTCATTCATCATGCAACCAAGTTGCGTGATAGCAAATTTCTGTCAAACTGAAACTTGGGCGATGAGAAACTCTTTCTATTTGGTAAATTCTCGACATTTCCACAATTATTATAATTAAGAATCACATCCATTCGTTGTAGAAATATGCAAACATCAATTTTTCATAACGATTTTATTGCAAGGAAATAAATAAATAAATAAATGAGTCAGATCAAAATTTATTTTATTCATAAAAGCAGCGAAAAACATTTGTCCTTACAATCCAAAATCAACTGAAAAAGTATGTAATCAAATATTCCTAACAATTCTATCATAACCTTCTAAGCTCAAAATCTAATCTTCAAATCCATGCAATCGAGATCCATTTCTTTGTGATTAGACTCATCTTGCTTTTTCCTCAAGCTTCCTCTCTTTTCACTGATCCTGCAAAAACATTCAAATGCAATCTTATCACATCATGTATTAAGAATCAAAGAATAGGAACTTAATGGAGGTAGATAGTGGGTTTTACCTGAAACACAACCATACTCTTTGACTCTCCCATCTTTTGGACCCTTCAGGTCTTAGGGCAGACCTGTATCCAACGCCCTTTCTCTTGGCAGCAAACGCAGGTCGGTTCTCCTAGAACATCCACAGAAGCATGGTTGGTTGACTTTCCCAACAAATACGCTCCATTGCTTTGCCAAATCATCTCTGATTCAGCAGCAATGAGCATGTAAGTTAGGTCAATGAGGTTTTCGTCATGATCCATCATATAATACTTTCTTTTTAACTCATTATATGATTCAGGGAGTGACTGCAGAACCCAGTTCACAGCCAACTTATTAGGGAATGATGCACCCAATATTATCAACTTATCGATGTGTGATTTCACTCCTAGAACGTGGGCACACACGGGTTTACCATCTTCATGTTTCATTTCCAATGGGGCTTTAGTGACATTGAACCTTTCAATTCTTCGATCTTGTGGGTTAGGGAGAACAACGGGAGGAGGAGGAGGAAGTGAAGCATGATTTCTTGTTCCTCGATCGAATCGTGGAACATCATCTTCATGTGGAATGCTTGTTCCACGGGATTTGGGAAGACCATAGTT